GATTTTAGTTCCCCCTCGGCCCGACTTGCTTCGCCTCGTCGCTGCGCTCGAGGCCGCGACCGAAAGTGTGTGTGTGTGTGTTGTGTGTGGTGTGTGTATGTGCGTTTGCGTGTGCACTTGTTTGTGACTGTGCTGTGCTGTCTGTGTGTGTGTGTTTGTGGCGAAGGTAGTGTCAAGCAACGTCCTGCGACGACGGAGAGTTCCATCTGTTATAACATTTACTCCTTCGTCAGAGTGCCGCCCCGTGCGAGCGCAAGCCGCCGTGGCGGCCAAGATTGCTGGCCGAGGTGTGTTCGCACAGGCATGCAAAAGTGTCTGCGTGCGAGTGTATGTGCGTGTGGCTCGTCTCCGTCCTCTGATGGCGTCACACTATTCTCGCTCGCCACCTTTGCCTGGGCGGCCAATGGACCGTCGACCCAATGGGGTCTCGCGTCCAAGGGCCCGACCGCGCGCGCTAGTTCCGTGCTGCTTGCTCGACTTGCTCCGCATCGTCGCTGCGCGCGAGGCCGCGATCGCTCAACAGTGTGCGTGTGTATGTGTATGTGTGTGTGCGTGCTTGTGTGTGTATTCTGCCTAGCCGCTGACGCAAAAGTGTGTGTGTGTGCGCGCGTGCGTGCGTGCGTTTGTGTGTGTGCGTAAGCATACCACTGTGTTCTCTCTCTCTCTCTCTCTCTCCCTTGTTTTTTTTTGTTCTCTGTCTCTCTCTCTCTGTCGTGCGCAAGTCCTCTCCCCTGATCTGGTGTTTTTTCTTGTATCACGCACGCTGTCGCTCAGGCGTTCTGCGGCGCCAGCGGTTCTGGCCGCAGTACCCGTTCTCCGGTGTTCGCCTCCTTGGCGCCTGCGTGATTGTGCGTTGTTGGCAGAAGAGCTTCCTTCTCGCATGGTTGGCTTTGCGCCCGTCGGTCCCCTCTGCCCTCTTGCCGCCCGTTTGTCCCATCTTTCCTTCGCCCCTCTCCTTCCTGGCGCTACAGGTCCCCCAGTGTTCTGCGCTTGGCTGCCCAGGCTTCCACTGGTTTCGGCGCCGTCGTGGCGTGCCGTCTGGTGCCCCCTCCATCTCCGCCGCTCTCCGCCCCGGGTTTTCCTTGTTTGCTTCCCGCGCCCATTATCCTCGCGCTTTTCTTGCCGAGTCTGCCTCTTGTTCGGGACGACCGGGCTGGTGCACGCCATTATGAAGAGTGATTTGTTCATTTGGTTGTAAGTGTGGCCCGTGATAGGTTGGCCTGTGGTTGCCTTTCTCACTGCGGCCCTGGTAAGTGGGCGTGTGTGTATGTGTGTATCCGTGTTCCACTACCACCGTCAGGAGCAGTGGCCATTTCTCCCAGCAAGGATGTGTGCGTGCAGGGAGGAAGAAGGAGAGGACGCGAGGGCAGAGGGAGAGGTGGAGGGGGACAAGCTAGGTGCGCTCGCGTCATATCTGACGTCCGACCCCTCCCTCCCATCCCTTACCATGGCGTGGATCTCCCCTCTATTCGCACAGTCGGATGTCGAGCATGCAATGGTCCCGAGAGAGTGCGCGATGCATCGTAGAGCACGGCATAGCAGGGCGTAGAAGAGCACGGCAGAGCGTAGTATGTCATAGCATGGCGTGGCGTTGCGTGGTGAAGAATTGCATCACAAAGTGTTGCAACGTAAGGGGTGGCATCGCTCAGCGGCACAGATCAGAACATTGCATAGCATGGCGTTGAACATCAAAGCGTAGCATGTCATAGCATGGCGTGGCACTGCGTAGTCAAGCACTGTATACCCTAGCATTGCAGCTGAAGGCATGGCATCGCACAGCGGAACACCACTTACCATTGCATTGCGTGGCGTGGCATGTCACTGGAAATAATGACGCCAGCGCTCCAGCGGGAGCACGATTCGGAACGAGCGGAAGCGCGGAAATGAGGCCAGCCGTGCAGCGGGAGCACGAGTCGAAACGAGCAGAAGCCCGAACATGAGGCCAGCGCTGCAGCGGGAGCAACATTTTGAACAACAACTCAAGCGAAAACCCAACTCCCGGGAATCCTGCGTGTGGAAAAACATACGCGAAGGGGGGCGGACATCTTCCGGACGTCGTCAGGGGAGAGAGGAGCGTAGAATTTGTATTGTGTAAGAGTAGAGGACCTGGAGGAGAAGGGAGAAGGGGGAGGCGCGTGGGTCGGGTTCCCCCGTCAGGCGGAGGAAGCCGCGGCGCTTATTCTGGAGGTCCCGGTCCTGAGGACCCTGCTCGACCACGGGATGATCGACTGCGCCAGCAAGCGCAATCGCGGTGGTCGAGGGAGCAAGAGGATGGGCGGATGGACGGGGGTGAGGGGGCAGGGAAGGGTGGAGGAGAAGCGGGAGGAGGCCAGAGGGGGGGGGGATGTTTTTGGTGGGCTTGAGCGGTTTCCGTATATGTTCGAACGTGTTCGGAGATGTCTGGCGGAATGAGAGGAGGAGGAGGAGGAGGAGGAGGAGGAGGAGGAGGAGGAGGAGGAGGAGGAGGAGGAGGAGGAGTCATCTTGAATAAGTGGGAGTTGGAGAGTGGAGACGCTGCCAGTCCCGTAACGTGGAAGAGCATTTGACGTCTTCCCTTCCACCCTTTTTCGTGTTTTCTGGGCATGACTATAAGAAGAACCAGGAGGGGGTGGGGGGCGAAAGTGATTTTCATTCGTAACCTCTACCGTCCCAGGAGCGCGCGCGGGAGAACGAAGCGCAGGCCCGCGCTGAAACTTTCTCAGGAATCGTCTGCCATGTTCAAGGCGCCACGCACAGGCGCTGCGTTGAAATTCAGTTCACAGGCCGTGCGATTGCGATTTGCTTTCGTTTCTGTAGTAACGCACGTATGCCCCGCGGTGTGCACATGTCTGTGATGCACGCGGGTCTAGTGGCGCCCAGTTGCTCTGTGGTGCACAGCTAGCCATGCTGCCCGCAGGCCTTATAATGTGCACCTGCCGTGTGGTGCACACAGGCTTCGTGATGTACGCAGACCTTGCTGTGGCTCATGGCGCACTTGTTGTTCACAGGTTCTGTGGTGTTCACGGGCCCCGTGATGCAAAGACTCCGTGATGGGCACAGGCCTTTGTGACGTACATAGGCAGGCCATGTGGTGCACACAGGCTTTGTGGTGCACAAAGGGTCCGCGGTACATGCACGCTCTGTGACGTGCACGCATGCCATGTGGTGCACGCAGGCCGTGTAGTGTACTCAGGCCCTGCGACGTACGAGGGCCTTGTGGTGTGCACTGGCCGCGCGGTGGTATTGCACTGGCCCTGCGGTGAAAACGCGCCGCCCTGTGGCGGGTGCAGGCATTGTGATGCACGTGCGCCTGCCCCGTGATGCGCACGGGCCGTGCGGTTTGTGCAGGGCCTGTGATGCAAGCAGGCCGTGTTGCGCGCACAGGCTTGTTTGTTCCATGTCGAGTGGTCTGGCTCTCCCCTCCTCCCTCCCCCCCTCCGTACCTGCGGTTCCCTTCCGCCCCTTCCCCTCTTTCCCTCCCTCCCCCGAAGGTCTTCAGAGGTCCCTGGAGGTCCCCGCGGAGGCTGCCAGAGGCCCCGACAAGGTTGAACAACGCCCAAAAATTTAGATCCTCGAGCCCCCGCTTCCCCGTACACCCTCTTGCTCCTGCCTCGGGACAAGGGAGGAGGATGATGAGAAGGAGGAGGATACGGAGGCGGTTCAGGAGGGGGAGGGAGGACGTGAAGCAGGAGGAGGACAGAGGAGGAGGATGCGGATGCGGAGGGGGGAGGAGGAGTAGGATGATGAGGAGGAGCAGACGCAAACCCAATGAACTCCGTAGCCAGGAGACTAACTAGGGAGAATGTCGGCTATCCTGGCCGCTGGGTAGCCCGAACGACCACGGGCCCCGACAATTTCCGAGCAGAATGCCCTGCAGATAGCAAACCTTCAGAAATTGTGCGGGGCCACCCCGCTGGAGGGCCTCCTGATCAGGCCAGGACTCGAGCAGCACACATCACAGAGAGTGGTTTCAGTTCGGTTGTGCCCCTGCACACGGATGACGCCTCTTCTTGAGATGATTCAGAGCAGTCGTTCTGGCGCGACAGGTCTCCCAAGTGGCGGGCCCATTGCAAGAGGCAGTCGCTACTGTGGGCTGACGCTGGGCGGATGAGCCGCCAGGGTTGCGACAGTAAATGAACGGGCCCTCCGGAACTAGGTGGTGGCCTCGAAAGAGCTTGACTGGCGGACCGATACTAGACACAGTACCAGAACCCCCAGGGTTACTTGATGAGCCCTCGGAGCTAGGTAGACTACACACAGCACCGCTAGCCCTACTAACAGCTCTCTCTCTCAACACCCGTCGCCGTTTGGGCTTTCTCGGAAGCCGCAGCGTCCCTCAGAAATTCCAGACAGGCCGATGGACTGCGAAGTGTATTCATCGACCTTTTCGTGGATGGATCCCTCAAGCACTCCGCCGACTGGCGGTGCGCATTGCGCGCAGGAACACAGCAAAGCCACAGGAAAGCGCGGCATTGACAGTGCAACTCTGCACACGTGACAAAAGTTCACGAGCAAGAACACAGCAAAGCCCCAGGAAAGCGATGGACTGCGAAGTGCATTCATCGACCACGCTAGGGCTCGCAGGGGGAGCCATGGAAGTCCAGGGTCTCGCACCCTCCTCCCCTGTCGGATCGCCAGCCTCAGGTCTCAAGACACGATCGGCGGCACAGAGCGCGATGGCGATAGCCTCCGCAGACGTGGAGGAGAGGGAGGCGTTGGAGGAGGAGGAGGAGGAGGAGGAGGAGGAGGAGGAGGAGGAGGAGGAGGAGTATAGGGAGTCTCTCTCGCGCACGCGTCATCAGCCGCTGAAGCGTGGCCGGGGCGCTGTAAGCGCTTTCGAGGCGAACGCGGGCGGCCTCAGTCGAGACCTTGGCCGTGCAAAGCCTGCAGACTCAGCCAGCTCCTTCACGGACCACACCATGGCGGCTCGCGACCAATTGTAAATTGTACATGGTCTCGGGCAGCCGCCACCCTCTGGAGCTCTTGAACTCGTCCGAGAACGAGCCGACGGCCGCCATCATTCAGGACAGGAGCTTAGCCTCCGCATTGGCGTTGCTCATCTTTACTTCGAGCAGGTCCACCAGTGTGGACGGCATTTTGTGCTGGCACGCACCGACCTTGGATGACCACTCTGCACCGCGCAGGTCTGCCTCCATATGTCAGCAGATTGATCCTTGGTTGAGGCCAGCTCCGCGTCCCAGCAGTCGATCTTCCTGGCCAGCGAGAACAGGTTTATGACCGCGAACTTGAGGTAGCGCACGGCTTCAGCGCCTGGACACAGGCCCATCTCCCAGCCCTTCAAGCCGCCTGCCTGCCAGGGAGCGCGCCGAACATCGCCCTGAAGGGGACCTAGTCAACGCTAATTTGTACACAGGCCTATCCACATCCATACCTCAACCATCAGCAGACCTCAAATACAGGCTCTGGCTCAGGCACATGGTACAGTATCATGGGCGATGTCGAAGCGGTGGGAGTCGCTGTCGGCCGTTCCCATGTCGCAGCTCTTCTGAGTGCGAGTGTGCGCACTTTGAGGAGATCCTCATCCAACGGCTCGAACGTGCAATCCTCCTCCTGGCCGGCATCCAGCACGTGTGGGCACATTCGTAGAGTGGCCATTGGTGCAAATTTGCTGCCCAGATCAGTGAGGGCACCACGGGATAGGCAAGTAGCATTGGGCGAGCCATCGAACTGCATCCCAGGCAGCGCCAGCCCAGAACTCGCGCAGTTGGCCTGCCCGCGCGCCTCGGAGCACTGCCCTCGGCGGCGTCAGGATGCGCCTCTCGCCTGATGCCAGAGACTTGCGATGGGCGGAGGCGCTGGCTCCGAGTGGTGGGACAGGATCTGCCTACCTTGCCACCTCTGGATCCCCTCGCGCACCAGCTTGCCCGCCTCCTTGGGTGGGGTACGTAGCAGCTTGATGAGTGCCCCCGTGTCCGAGACCAGAACGAGGCTGGAGCGCATGGTCCATCCTACGCGTATCAGGCTTACCCACATGGCCGCCATCGGGCCGCGAACGCCGTGCCACGTTGGCTTCGCATCGAGCTGCTTGCACTCTGGAGCCTGCCACGCCCCCTTGCAGCCTGCAGAGCTGGATCTCGCCGTCCCAGGCCGCGCAGTATCTTCCCACCGGCGCGATGTTGACGCCGAAGAGTGGGTCGAGGCAAGCGTCACTCCGGGTGGCCAGGTGCAGCGTGCTGGAGTCGGCCCCTACATTGTCAAGTCCACTGCAGAGTAGAACCGCAAGGCAGCAACTCTGTGCGCCAGAGCGCCTGGATACGCAGGCCGGCCGTCCGCTGCAGGGCCGCAATCCTCGGCCTCCGAGGAGCTTCTTGGCCTCAGTGCGGATGACACCCTTGCCGTGCGTCTCGTTGCTCAGTTTCCGCGCGTGGAGGCGCGCGGTCGTCGAAGCGAATGGGCAGCCGCCTTGGAACCCCTTCTGCGCCACCATGGTGGTGGCCAGCCAGCCCGACTTGGCGACCATGACCTTCAGGCCAGGCCAGGTGGGACAACGTTCGAGATGAATGCCGTCACTGCCTGATAAAGAACCAGCACACCTCGTCCAATGGCCTTTTTAAAACCCACTGCGTAGTGAGGCAATCCACGGCCCCCCCCTGTGCGTGAGATCCTCGGGTATGTCCATCAGGCGTCTCTGAACAGCAGCATCGTGCGCAACGCTGAGCTGTGCGTACAGCCCGCCATAATGATCTGGTTGGTGCAGACGGGCTTGGGTCAGCAGCCGCCGTGTGCACGCACGACTCGGCATACGGAAGCATGCCAGCAGCTGTCAGGCCAAGTGCATCGGGTATTCCAGCCTCTCAGCTTCTACCAGCAGCAGCTCAATGATGACGCTGTCGAAGGCCTTGTGCAGGTCCAGAACGATGAAGACGCTAGAATCCCCAAGGAGGTGCGATCTGGGCCGAGATGTTGTGGCTGAAGGCGGGGTATTCCAAGGATGCTCCACGTCTGAGTCCAAATGCAGGCATTGCTGAAGCCACGTCTGCTGCTGAAGCCACTGCCGTGACAAAGGCCTCCGCACGTGCCTACAGCGCCGAGACTAACGCGACCAGTCGGGTTTTGCCATCAGGCTTAGGTAGGCGCACCATGACATCGATGAGGCTTTGGGGCGGCCAGCACACTAGGGCGTCGCACTGCATGAAGGGGAGCGCGAGCGCGTGGATGCCTGCGTCCTGTGTTGGAGACATGCCAGAGGCTCCTCGGGTGCAACTTTGACTGGCCGACCGCCGTACGCGCACTGAATGTGAGGATGGCTTGTCTGATCTGCTGTTCGTCCAAGGGCGGACGCTCCTCGAAGTAATCAGCATCACCAGGCACACGCACCCATGAGGCCCCATGCAGGGACCATAGCTGCTTCCAGTCGTTCATTACCCTGTCCGCCAGTATGGAAAGATCAACCTGGGTGGTGGGACTTAACAGCTCGAGCCTCACCTGCAGCTTGGTTGCACGGTGCGCCCCGTATGCCATTGCTGGAGGCATTGTCCAGCCACTGGTGCCAGCGCGTGGCCACCGCGCTGCCATGGAGTGCCCGCAAGTCCCTAGTATGCGTCACAAGGTCCGTCATGCTCTGCTCGAAGCTAGGCTGGATGATCAGCTCGATGCCCATGAATAACAGGTTTACCACCTCCTGGCACAGCACTTCCCACATCTGCTGAGCGTGGAGGATGCGCTGGTAGAAAGCCATGAGGGCAGTGATGTGTTTGGTCACACCCGTTGCTTGTGGAGCAGGCGCACGGGTTGACGATGTACGCCGTAGTCCGCAGCAGGTGCTTCGCCCGTCGAGCAACGAGCAGCTGCAGCATGGGCCGTAGCCTCTTGCCAGGGAGCTGCCAAAGAACCCGCGCCACTTGGTCTCAGGTGCGCCAGCCCGTCCCTCCTAACGCCTGCGGCTGGACTCATCGTTAAGGTCGCAGCGGTCCAGCAGTTCAGCTTCCAACCCCGACAGTTATACTCCATCCCAGCCGTCCTGTAACTCCAGGTCCATCTGAGCCTGCATGGCGAGCTGCTGCAGGGGCGCTCAGACAACCGGCCGGCGTGAACACCCTGGTCGGATCTCGGAGGGCCCAGCGAGATCAACAGGCACCTGCTTCAACAGCGGCAGCGTGCACAGGGAGCGGGGTTGCATCGTCGACCGTGGGGCCCAGAACCATCGCCATGAGGCTGTTGCAGCACACCCCGTTGTCGGTGCCACGCTCAGGCAGGGATTTCCTGCATTTGGGCGCGGAAGGCTTGGCTAATAAGCTTTGCGCCGCCCCCCAGTCATCGCCTGTCAAGTTAGGATGAGGAGGCGGAGTTGGGGGAGAAGGAGGAGGAGGAAGAGGAGGAGGAGGACGAGGAGGAGGCGGAGGAGGAAGTTGAGGACGGGGGAGAGGAGAAGGAGGAGGAGGAGGAGGCGAAGGAGGCGGAGGAGGAGAACAGGGAGGGGTGCTAGCAGCAATAGGAGAAGCAGGAGGAGGAGGAGGAGGAGGAGGGGGGAGGAGTAGGAGGAGGAGAAGATGGAACGAGGAGGAGGAGGAGGAAAGGGATGATGATGATGATGATGATGATGATGATGATGATGATGATGATGATGATGATGACGACGATGATGATGATGATGATGATGATGATGATGATGATGATGATGATGATGAGGAGGATGAGGGGGAGGAGGAGGAGGAGGAACGATGATGCTGATGATGTTGCTGCTGATGATGGTGATGATGATGATGATGATGATGATGATGATGATGGTGATGCTGATGATGATGATGATGATGATGATTATGATGATGATGCTGACGATGAAGATGATAATGATGCGGATGATGCTGATGATGAGGTTGCTGCTGATGATGACGAGGATGATGATGATGATGATGATGATGATGATGATGATGATGATGATGACGATGGTGGTGGTGGTGATGACGGTTGTGGTGATGATGCTGATGTTGATGCTGATGCTGCTGATGATGATGGTGGTGGTGTTGATGATGATGATAATGACGACGATGATGATGATGCTGATGCTGCTGATGATGATGATGAGGAGGAGGAGGAGGAGGAGGAGGAATAGGAGGAGGAGGAGACGGAGGGGGATGATGATGAAGATGATGATGATGATGCTGATGATGATGATGATGATGATGATGATGATGATGATGATGATGATGATGATGATGATGATGATGATCTGATGACCTGATGACCTGATGATTTGATGATGATGCTGATGATGATGATGATGATGATGATGATGAGGAGGAGGAGGAGAGGACAGTGAGGAGCGCGAGCAGCAGCAGGAGGAGGAGAAACGATGAGGCCCTCCCTCCCCAGGCTGGCCTGGGCGCGGCCTCTTCAGGCTGGCTGTGGGGGGCGGCCGCCCGCGGGGCCGCCGCCTGCGCGGCGGAGCAGGTCCCTCGTCCTGGAGTCCTGGGTGCGGCCGCTGCGGGAGGGGGGGGGGCGGGGGTGGCGAGGCCTCATCCTCTTCCTCCTCTCCTCATCCTCTCGTTTTTGCTCCGCGAACATCGCGCCCGCGAGTTGTGCGCGAGGGAGAACATGTCACGGTAATGGAACATGCAGAAGGAGAGAGGGACATGAATGATCATGTAGCATTGCACATGTTGCCATAGCATCACAGACGACTGCATTTGTAACCGATTGCATTTCATATGTTGTCTCTTCCACTTGGTCGGGCGCGGGCCATGCTCAAATTCCTATTCGGCCCTGAGGGGTCGTCGACGGGCGCGGGCCCGCGAGCACTGAGTGACAGGGCACCAGCCCGAAAGAAAGGCGACGAATCACCCGGCGGCACTGGGTGGGGCGCGGGCCCAAATAAATCGAGTACGCGCTTCGGCCGCAGGCACAAGCTCAAACCCGGTCTTGAGGATTCCCGGGCCCGACTGCAGCCACAAATGTAAGCGTTAGCCCGTCGGCGCGGGGCGGGGGCCCCAGTCGGGCTGCGTTTGCGTGTGCACTGGCCCTGTTGCGGGCGTGGGCCCGCTCGCGTGGCCACGGGGCGCGCGCGTTGGTGGTTTAGGGGTTTTGCGGCGAAGCTTCGGGCCCCGACCGCTTTCACAGAGTGCACAGGTGAGGGCGCAGCCCTGCAACAGCAGTGCCGCCGTGGAAACGCGTATTGGCATGCTTGCATTACCAGCGGCGGGGGCACGGGCCCCGTCCGTGGATCGCTGGGCACAGGCCCATTCGCGCAGGCACGGGCCTGTTCCGTTATGCAAGTCGGTTGGGCGTGGGCCCGGCGTTGGTGGCCGTATCTCCGAGGTGCAGGTCGCGGCCGTTTGGGCGGCTCCTGC